CCAAAACACCTTGCCTTGAAAACTGCAGGGACTCATCCAGGCAGTCACCGCAGAATCGGTAATGATTGAGTGCAGATTAAAAAAAAAAAAAATTACATGTTTCCCCATGCTTAGCTCAGTTTATTTCAGAGTCAGTATGAAGTGTGGGGACAAATCTCCATAAGTTTAAAAAGAAACCCTATAGGACTGGGGCTGTCATAAAATAAGATCATACTATGTACTTTGGGAAAGCAGAAAAATAACCGCTTAAGTAATGACAAATCTAAATGCAAAATCAAAGTGAATAAAGTTTAATGGACCCACACTGGTAGCTCAGAAGACTGAAGAATAAATTAATAAAACAAGAAAAGACATAAAGCCTGGGATACTTTTGATTGGCAGGTTCTCTTGTTATGCTGGGTAGCAACAAACAGCTGACGAAAAGATGGGAAGAGTAGAGCTTCTTTAGTTTAGGAACATGTTTTTTTTAGTTCCTGGTTGTGGTCATCCAGGGAAGAAGAGTGTCTGTGAAGCCCTTCAAGACAATCTATGTCCAGTGCAATCCTAAATTCATCTATTTTTTTAAAAGAAGTCATATTACCATCATTAAAACATACTCCAAAATATATGTAGATGGTCTTGCAATTTTTATCTTTTTAGAAAGAAAGGCTATATAGTGAAGCCTTAATATACATTCTTAGACAGAAATATATAGAATCTATACCCCCTTTTTGGTATTATTTTCTAAGATGTCATAATTAAGAGATGTGTTGCCTTGTTTTCCAGGTTATATAGTGTGGTATACAAGCAATACAGATTTAACTTCTTAAAACTGTAAATTACATAGCTGATTAGTGAGGCACCCTGTCAATCATTATGGTTGATTTGCTAGACATGAAAATAACCTGGTAGATGAAAAACAGCTGTTCATTGTACAATAGATGTGAAATATTTAATTTGCCTTTTGCTTTTTTGTAAGGTTTTTCTTGTATGATTAATGCTTGCAATTTTAACCCCTCTGCTGTGCTTAGAACATATTGAGAGAATAATTTAAACAATTATAAACATACTTGTTGCAACCTCATAATGTTAATTGCAGTATGACAGCTCTAAGAGTCACATTATCAGTTGACTCCTTAAAGCAGACGTTTCTTTTCTTCATGGAATCCTGAAAAAAAGAGGAGCTGTTTTAATGAATAGAAGTGTTGCGCTCACACTTGCGCGAGGTGAGAATTGCTTCTTTCAAATAATTTTTATAGCATCTTCCATCTTGCTTTCTTGCTTTCTTTTGCCATTGCACGTCACAAATAAAAAGGCATCTTTAAAATTTCAGGTAAATGACAATAAAAATATTCCAGTACATAAAATAATAACAGCAAAAAGATTCTCTGTACATTATAAAACACAATTATGTATTTGCATATTCTGATGAAAGTTTAGGTGCACTTAAACATTTCATCTGAGGTCACTTCCTATGAGTGTCATGGTGAGCTGATGTGTTACTGGCTTGCTGACTAGTAAGATAGCTTTTGCGAGGGAAATCACAGCTGGATGTTGGATCCGGGCTGGTGTAATCCCTTTGGATCAAAGGAGAGATTGTTGAGATCATCCACGTGACTCCAGACAGCTGCTACTCATGAGTAGACTGTCGAAACTGTTGTTTATAAGTGGAGTAGCTTATGAGTGGAGTGGCTGGGAGTTGGGATTACATCAAGCTCACACTCACAAAGCAGCCTTATGGACACTAAGCTTTGACCCTTATATCTTAATCACTGTTTTGGATTAATTTTTTATGTGTTGTATATTGGAGAGATTAAGACCCTTGGGACTGGCAAGGTTTACTGTATTCATCGGGTGAGTCTCCACCTCCTTAAAAGACAATGGTGTAAATTTAATTTTAAACATTTTGAAAATACATTTTTTCTGATTATGCAGCAAAAGGGTGCTTAGTATATGGATTTTGAGAAGTTAATAATGGATTAAGGGGCCAGAGAAATTTGGAATTATAGTTTTGAATTTATCTGAAGATATCTTCTCATGGAAAAATGGCGATTGCTTTTATTTCTTTATGATAAGGAGACCATGAAGATTGGACATTACAGGGAGCCAGAGGACAAAGAAAATGGAGCAGAAATCCTTAGTGCAAACTTTTAAATACCTCTTAGTCAAGCTACTGACTAGAATGGATCAACTGCTTGAGAAACTGGACAGAACATGCTTTAATGAAGTTGTAAAATAAGAACAAGTTGTAAT